AGCGTATGATATTCACCAATGACATAACACTAAGTTAGGCAGTCGTAAACATTTTATCACGATCCTCATTACTAGCCATCACTATTCCGGCACGAACTATTTGCAAATTGAATGAAATTTCGGGTGTTGTATAGTAGTATATAGGAGCCATGTAAAACTACACTTGCTGTGTTTATCATATTGGTATGATCGGTAGGTTTATAAGTAACGATACTTACTGACGAACTTCGATAAAATTACGAATTTCGGAACTGGAAAGCCGGAATTATTAGTTTTAGCGGGGAATACTTTCATCTTAAATGTTATCTTACCCAAGGTAAGGCTTTTTTGCGCTTTACACGCAACCCTGACTGAAAATCAGTTCTATAGGGCCTACTAACACTGATACTCCTTCCATCATTGGAAAGAGTGTCAGGTACTTCATTAAGCTTGACCCGCAATCCCAGCGTAACATAATTCCTATTGGTTCCCATCTATTGTAGCCTATCGTCTCCTTAAGGCTTTGAGGTGCGCACAAAATATGATGTACCGTACGCTCTGGTTCTTAATCGGGCGGCGAGCTACAGTTGCTTGCTGATCGCAACACCCGCGCCTACAGCGGCCAGAGATCGGAATGGTCTACGCGTATTCATCTGGTTTGTTCTAGCTTACCCTTGGCGGTAAATACTTTGTGAAATGTAGCTATAATAAGTTCATAAATAAGTATTAGAGCGTTAGGATAGAAAACTTTATATGAAGAAGTTGAATTATAACCGTGCTATTGGACGTTTCTATTTCAATCAAATCAATCAAATCGTTTACTTTGCAAAGAATATGGGTATAAAATAAGATGTTAAAATTATATATGTATAGGATTTCCAACACATTTTACCATCAGATCAGAAAATTTTTTTTCATTTACCTCCTTAGTAATATTACATTAACCTACATAGTAAAAGTAACCTACAAATCCTTATTTCTTTTAAGTAAACCACTTAGGGTTTAATAATGTTTATTATACTCAATTAAACTCTATTCTAGATCAATTAATAGTTTGCACTAATGAGATAGTGTTTTTTTAAAGCGCTAATCCCATATAGTGCTTGTTTACCTTGGACAATCCTTTTAGTGTTGGATAATCCACTTAGTAAGAAAAGCTATAAGGTATACGGCTATAAAATCACGCTAAGACCATTAGGAACCGAGCAGTGAGTAAACCGTTTGGGAGTAGCCAGTGTGTAATAAAATTCCTATAGAAAATTTAATCCTGCTTCGCCTTGGTATGTCAAAAGGCTATTATTATAAGACTGCAATAAAGTGACCGCTACTTTCCGAGCACAATATTAATATCGAGAACATGCGAAAGCTCTTTCGACTTTATTGAGTTCTGTTAAAATACATTTTTGCCTGATACTCAAAAGAAAGGAAAGTTATTAGATTCCTGTCTACTTTTATTGGTAATTCTTTTTTATTGGAATTTATCGGTTGAAGACTCTATCTCAGTATTTCGTTTCTCTTTTATTTAACTTGCAATTTATTTATCTTTGTGAAGTGGTTCTACATATATTGCAAGTAAATTCTGAAGCTACAATCTTCAAACGAATGGGCTGAATTTTTGTTTACATCTTTTATTTGCATGCCTATAGATGCTAAGCTGAAGCGGCTGAAAAATGTCTCCAAAGTGCCTCAATGACCTACTCGATAAAAGCTAGCTTTTAAAATAATGTTGTCATTTTAACGAAAAAAATGTTATTTGTGTTATTGTCACATTTCATGGTGCAACCATATCGTTTTGATCAGATAATTAGATCGACGTATGATCAAACCGTAAAATTAGTTTAATACCGGTTATATCAACAATTTTTGGATCACTCAAAGAGTTGTCCATGTTAAAGTCGAATCCACAACAAATTCCCCGGTACCTGGTAGCCCAGCCACCACGTCAAGTTTGCAGCCAAAATTTATCTTTGAAACCCTAAGTAAAATTCTCGCCTTCACTTGATTTAACTACTATCAAATAATTTTGATTATTGTATACCGTTGAAGTTTTTTCTAGCAATTTGTTCTGCATTGTATTCACATATGGCTATAATAACGTGCATTTGTTTATTAATTGGAAAAATAATATAACATATTTTTAAAAGGTGACGATGGAGTTTCTTTCATATTTTACCCTTTAGATTCTACACTTTTGAACGAGCACCTAACTGCAATTATGAAGATGCTGACAGACTAATTCGATTTTGAAGTTTCAAAGTACCTATTTATAGTTTAGTAAGGATAAATTATTTTGACTGACTCAATATGTAGTTGCCGACAAAGACAGTTAACCAGTTCAACTACTAAAGAATTTTCTCTGAGCAAATTGTGGCCACGACATGTGCATTCAACCGTGAAAGACAAAATGACAGATGTATTTTCTTAATACAAAATAAAAGTAAATGATTTGTAGTAAAAAGGTCATTCAGTCGGAAAAATAAGGGTTACTTCGGATTATGGTGCCAAGATGGAAAATGGAAATTTAAATAGAATAGAATAATGCCCTTCTAAATGAATCATCAATGAATCATTTTAAATTTTCCACACTTCTAGAAAATCTTTCTGGTAACCAAATGACTGGGCTTACATAAGAATAGTAAGAAAAAAGTCCAGCAACATTTTCTTTATGAAAAATTTCAATGAGTGCTTGACAGTCACAAAAAAATCAAAATCACTAATAATTGTACCGTTTTTAGAAGACTTACTTCCATCCACAGGTGAAGCCTACCACAACCATCCACGTGGCATTAAATAAACGACCAACTTATCAGTGAAAACATCATTCTATAAAAAATGTCATCAATCAATAACAATACAATACTAATGCACTCAAGCTTTTAACACACACTTCAACACTCAAATCCATTTACGGACCATCTTTACGCAAATGCATCCGTAATAGAATTCCTAACATAGTTTGTTCGTAAAGCATCTAGAATATTCTGTATCTCTTAATAAATCAAATTTACTAGGGGAGGGGGGAAGTGTACAGTATAATGGAATTTACGTCCCGGTTGCGGTAGCAAATGAACTTACATTATGGGGCTGTCACAAGCACCGGTTGGAAACTAACAGGCACCTGTTTAGCAAAATAGACTTAATTGCATTTGTGGGAGAACCGATATTACAGAATCATAGCAAAAGCCGCATTACTAATTAGTCTCTAGCCGGATATAGGGCTTGATCTAATTTAGATTGAGGGTATCATAGAGAATAACAAAATCAGTCATTTATCAAAATAATATAGGACTTTCGTACATGCTGTATGTATACACTTAAAAAAATAGGATTAAGGATATCATAATAATCTTTCTGAATCTCTAAAACCGCATAAAAAGTCTAAAAAAAGCAGAACAAAAAGTCTTTCATCACCAGCTACGTTATGAACAACACCGACTAAACGACGAAGTCAATACATTAATATGAACTTTAATTTTTAACAAAAGGGTTCAAAATTAAATTTGAACTGACAAGGGATGAAAAGTTTTAAATTGAAATATGTCAGGACCATAGGTATACTCGACAAAGCTATCATACAGTTTAATTGGCTATTAGTTGATACACGATTTGTTTAGTCAGAGTTGACATAATTGGGAAGCCAGTGGGACCGATGTTCTCGTATTTTCGATCGCTTTCGAACTTCAGATTTGATTCAAGTTTACGGCAAACCGCATTGCTTGGAGCATCATCTCTATCTAATAACTGTGGTTACTAGCTGTGGTAGTTTAATTAACTCCATAACTGCATTACAACTTTAAAATTGACTTTAGCCAACATTATATTATACTTTATCCTTCCAGAAAGTCATTTTTTTTTCAAATCGAAAATGTTATGCATCGTCAATCGTCATAGATACGTAAGGTATATTGAATTTATAAAATTTCATCTTAGCTTTTTGGGGTTTAAGCGCAATTTTTGGCGGCTTGGAATCTAACAAAGGTCGAGGTGGTTTTTAACTGTAACAGTCTGACTTTGGATCTCGCCCTAGCTAGGACAGGAGAAGTCATTGGATGGTTTTCCCCTCTGACTAAGCTAACTATCACAATGTTTGTTATCTTGTGAAGTTAAACAAAGAAATAATTGTGACGGATACAATTCCGAATCTTGTTTCCAAAATAAACCATACAGTACACGATCCCAATTAACACATACGTTTCACGTTTCGTCATCAAGAAACACAAAACCAAAAAAATAAGGAAGACCTGCTAATTAGACACAAAGGTAAACAAATTTTGACATACAACAAACGAGGGCCCGAAACTTTGAGCAAACATTTCAGCGATGCGAAAATTTCAGCCTTCAAAGTGACCAAAATCTAGCAAATTTTGTCTCATAAGTATGTAGGACAGGTATTTGGTAGTACAAGTGCTAGGAGGTACATATAAAACAAAGTAGATGAACACAATTGGTATTCTGCGTCGGAAACTAATAAAAATTCAATTTACGCCGTTGTTAAACTTGATTTTCTTTTAAGCGGAAGCTTTTAATACAGGTATCGATTTTTCCGATTCGTAATAAATTCTTCTCTGTTCTGTTACGCTCCACTTCACTCATTGTTGTTAAATCGGAAATTGAATCGAGCTCTCAGTTTTTTTTTTGCTTTATATTGAATCGTCAGATTTTGTTTATTTTTAGACCTAGATTAAGATTATAGAAATGCGTATATCTTAAACTTTCATTCTAAGTTGAAGTAGTTTAATTCAAGTGTTTTTTTTTTCATATTTTGTAAATTATATACTTATACTTATGCCATAACTCAAATCTATGATTAACAAAACGTAATTCGTAAACATTCTAGAACGAATTTCAAATTCAAATTCTCAATAAACATCGATATTTCGAGATAAACGATTTGGTCTCTCCTTTGATCGCAGTATTCGAAGTTCAAATATTTTGTCACACTTCACCCTTTACAAATATTTGACGGCAACTTAATCAAATTCAATTTTCTCTGAAGGGTCGAACAGATTTGGGAAACTTACCGAGCAGTGTTCTGGGCTGGAGGGTCACACAACCAGTGTGGATGTACTCGATCAGTTGACGAAAGACGTCAGGCTCAAACTCTTCAATGATCAAAGTTTGATGCTGCTGCGAAGATGGCTGTCAATTCAACAAAACATTTGAATGCAGAAATAGGTCATACTGTTCAGTAGTGCTTTGTACCAAACCACGCCAATTGATTTTTTACTGTAAATCGACTAGTAATATATAATTTATCACAAGTTAGTCTAATTTGTAGTCTGTTTGGTACAAAACACGGAGCGAAACATACATACATTTGAACCACATATTAAAAATGTTAACTCATGAATAAAAATCATAGTGCTTTTATTTACAATTTAAAATTCAGTGCCTCATAAAATCATTCATGAACTGAACTGAAAGCAATTTAAAAGGCACAAGAGATGCCGTTTTGCATAATCGAATACGCGTTGAACGCCTATTAAGATTTCAATTCTTGTCGATCTTGTGGTTCTAGTTGAAAGAAAATTGAGAAAAGTTCAATTTGATGTAAAAAAATATAATTTAGTATAAAATTGGCAAACAGTGGAACAACATCAAAAATAAACAAGAGAAGAATTAATTGTGTGGCAAGAAAATTAAAACGGCACACATGCTTAAAACTACAATTGTATCGAAAACCAAAAAAAGGTCTGAATTTCCAATGAAAAATAAACAACATCAATCGACTCACCTTGTTGATATTAATGACAAAAATTCAACAAATCATGCAAAACAACAACGGTGACGCAGTAACGGAATAAAATAAAATTTTATTTGAAAAAGATTCAATTTAGTCAGACGAATTCAGTCCTATCTACATTGTGTACTGAAAGGTGAAAAATTTGTACAATATGAACACCGAGTACTGAAATCGATAAAAAGTGAGACCCCTAAAACACCGTTAATTTTGTTTTTACCTCTTGTATTGGTGCCAATTGCTGCGCGAAAGTCGACCTCTGTAGCGAACACAGTAAAAATTCAACGTTAACATTCAATTTAATCCATGCTACTCTGCAATTTGTGGAAACATGTTCCCCTTTTAAAAGTACTCAACTGTCGCGTAGAATATATTTTATACTTATACAGCAAAATATGATGGTGCAAAGGATTTATCTTTTCACGAAACTTTTCCGCACTCGTGATTTTATTTTATTAAGTTAGTTTCGCTCGAGTAAAGAGAGACCCATTGAATAGAAAAAAAAAAGACTTTTTCTTCAAAATAGGTTCCGAGTACACCGATAAAGTTTGAAGCTCTCTTTTTGTGAAACAGATTTTGAATATAACGAAAAATAAACTTAAATTATTTGAAATTATTTAAAAATCTACATTGAGTTAAAAAAGTCATATTTCGAACCTGTTTGGTTCAAAATATGAATATGTAATTGGTGTGGGAAAACATAACACGAAACAAATAATATGGACCAATGGGCAACTCATTGAACTTCACAATGGATATCAGGACTTTTTTATAGGCGATTAGTAATGATGATTTTAAGTTAAAGGTCGCCAATTAGGGAGGTTCAACATTTAACATTCCATCGCAATCCAATACCATTTAGTATAATTTTATTATTTATATTTTACCTGTTGAGCAGCGTTCTGGAGATTAAGAAGGGGTTCTGAAGACCTTTTCAAGAAGAGTCGTAGCTTATTTTCTCTTGGCGCCGGTTCCTTCTTGCGTTGGGGGCTTGGAGCTTGGTAAAGCATCTTTTGGAACACTCTGGTAACAAAGACACATTTAAATAGTGTTAAATTGTTTCTTAGAAGTATCTTATTACCATGGTTATTGTACTATTATATTATAATTAAAATGGGAATTTACAGGATAGACGACACACGTGCTCCAGATTAGAGTTGTCAAACAAATAATGTGATCCAAAATGTGAATTCGAAGTTTTAATATAAAAGGTAACTGAACGTGAAAATATGCTAGGTCACGAACTAAAAGCCTATGAAAATGGCCGAACATTGTAACAGTACATATGCATGACATGCATTGGATAGGTTTTAATTAATTTTCGTTCGGCATTTTCGACATTCGTACAGTGACGTGCTTTGAAGTTTTCATCAATGATAACAATGGATGCTGATTAATCATTGCTCGTCGTTCGACGATCGTCAGTCATTGTAAAATTTAAAAGTAGTTTAGTACCTATAGTTGAAACAATAAAAAATTAAATTTAAAAATACCTTCCAACAATAATAGTATATTAAGGGGTTCCAATAAGTCCCCGAACTTTAATACTTTTGGGGCATTTTCATTGATTTATCGTAAAGTCACACAGCTTAGCATTTATGGACAGGCAAACTACAGGTGTATAAAACATTTTAGCTTGCGGTAGCAGATATCTGTAATATTCCGCTTCACAATGTACGTATGTATGTCAATTGAAAGTTAAATAAAAGCTAGCATAAATACAACTATACTTTCCTTTATGTTGGAGTGAAGTTCTGAAATAGAATAGGCGAATCTATTTCCCCACTGAATCACGACAAATTCATATGAAATCAAAGACCTAAGACTCAATACTACTCCCGTAAGACTCAATACATTACAGTCTTCCGAAAAGACCATGCAGTGATACATTGCTGAACAAATAGACTCATAGATTGATAATATTTTAAATATATGTACATACGAAGCAACGAACAAGACTGCTTCGGCAATAAAAAATCAGATGCAACAAAGGGTGATTTTACGGTTCAATTTAAATTACTTCTGCTATGGTGGCGGTGTCGTATTCTCAGTGTTTATAATATATGTTTCTAAACAAACAATTCAAAATTTTTTATCAATGTTTTCACATGTTCTGTATGATTATGTTTTGTCACATATACAGAATGTCCACAACGTAACGTGGGTTTCAAAGGTAAACTTGAAAGTAATGTCAGTTATGTTACGCATTCATCAAAAATATTTTCGAGTCGCATTCAAAGCATTCTTCTATGTTGACAATCCTTTATTGTTCTGCCTCAAAATTGACACGTAAAGAGAAAACTTATAGTTTTTTTTATAATCAAATCATATTATTTGCTACTGTAATTCTGGCGAGTATCAATTTTACATTTACTTTTTTTTATAGACGTCGCAGCCAAATTCTTTAACAAGTCATCCAACCAACGACTTAAGTGCCTAATTGTTTGATAGAATGGCTAAATATCTCATTCAGGCTGTAAGCAAACAAAGCAAAGCTTATCATAATGATAGGTAAGGTTAGGTTAGAACTGTGAAACGCACAGAAATCGAATAGCTGTCAGAAATAAAACAGCTACCGGAATGATGATAAATAAATGAATAAATGGCTCGCAAAACCAGTTGCCTGAGACATTGATTTATATTTTTTTTTAGTTAAATAATTATTTATTCTTGACCTAAAAATCAAGACAGTCCACGAAATATCTGTAGTAATTAATTCAAATTATTTCATTTTTATTTAAACACCCACGCTAGTTCACCTAATTTTCTAATTAATTTTCCTTCATCACAAGAAGTACAAATTATCACGAACATCCATTTTATTAATCTCACGTTAATAAAATACTTATCGAGTCGTATTTTTTGCTACGTTAAATAAAATCCACTAAAATCTACTTTGAGAGCTTTTAATAAAATTTGAGCGAGATACAGTTTAATTAATAATGAAGAGACAGTAAAATTTAAATTGGAAATGGGTCATTTTTTCTGGGATATGGTGGCAAACGAGCTTTAAGAAGAGACGACGTAAGTGCCTTCTTCTTACCTGTAACTAAGCAATCAGCATCGTTTTCGGACACCCGTCACACCGGAAGATTTGTTAGTTTGCTTTATAAGAGCCTTTTAGGAGTTAGGGAATTTGGGATTTGGGTATTTGAGGATGCAGATAGGGGTTTTGGAGGATTGAGCGCCTTGTGACCTTACTGACGCCGGTTTACTATAATACTGTTATATCAACCCGGACCCGCCAAAGCATAACCCTGGGAGGGTTTACTTTATGGAGAGACCCTTAGTATTTTATAAAACGGCAAAGTTTTGGCGCCAGTATTAGGGGTTTAAGAGGTGAAAATTAAGATTGCTATTACGAGTACCATGTTCCTGCCGATATAATCATTCAATCTCATAAGAAAAATAAGGGTTATGAAAGAAACAAACCTGCTCCGAGCTGCCAGTACGGCTTTCACAGCACATACAGGTTCCCTTGTGTCTCCAACCAGGAAGGTGACGTCACAGAGTTCGGGCATGGAGGCGAGGAACTTCATATCCTCAGCCAACCCCGACTTGTTCTCGAAGGTGCTGAGGTCAGGCTCGGCCTCCATTGCCGCTAGCGCCCCGCTTCGCATTGACGACTGCGGAATAATTGTTTTTTTTTTTATATTTTTAGTTGAAATCATTAATTATTAAAATCGACTTCGTTATTAACGGAATAGATGTACTTAGATAGTTTTCTTACACTTCTTTATTTTGGCTGGATTTTAAAGAACTGTGAACTTTGCATTGGGTTATGGGGCACACCTCTAAGAGCTTAACCTCAAGATTTTAAGGAATGTGCAAAAACATTATCCACAATCATCAAAAAAAAAAAAAGCCATGAGTATAAATGTGGAGGGATGGAGAGGGAGAGGGAGACCAAAGAAAATATGAATGGATTGTTTGAGAAGTGATATGGAAGACAGAGGAGTTAAGTAGTGATAGCTTGACGGGTGACAGGACAGAATGGAAGAAAAAAAACATATTGCGTCGACTCCAAATAAAACGGGACAAGGGCAGGAAGATGATGATGGTGATGATAAAAATAAAAAAAAAACGGTTTGTAGTAGCTACCAAGCTTCCTTAGTATAATATAATTAAATTATTTTTTAGTAGATGGTGTAAAGGTGTTAATGATACGACACATTTGTAAAATTCAGTGCTCTGATTGATGAGTACTAACAACCAAATAAAAGGCTGAACGCGGTAACAGCACTCAGATGAAATAAAAATAAAGGTGACCTTCCACGCAAAAAGGAGGTATAAAACATATACTAACTTCGAGATCACTTCTATTCGGATCCACATACTTAGATTCTTGACCATAAAAGTCACGTCTCTCTACTAAAATATTAGCTATTTCCACAAATCGATGTTCTTATTATATGACCTCTATTTTTACGATAAGGTTGTACCATCAGAATTTTCCATTTAGTGGATAATTTTACAACTCAGTGTTTTAATGATCGAAAGATTAATCAAAGGTCTTCTAGAAGTCCTTACTAAGTGGTTGAAAGCATCTTTCTTTGAATGATGAATTTCAGTGTAAAAAAGAAACAAAACAAGATTATTTAAGTAAATAAGATTTAAAGAAAATGTTAACGTCAACGTTTAGAAAAACCTATAATATTTTTAAGCATTAAGCATTTTTAAGGCAAGCACCGCCCATGGAATCCTGCCAATTTAGAGAAGGTACAATTGCGTCGCTAGGCTTCTAAGAAGAAGTGCACTTCTTTTTAGAATTTTGAAGTTACTTATACAAAAACATTGCCGACGAGAGTTAACACCATCGCTTTTTTTTCGCAAGGCAGAAGTTTTCGTGAAAAACGAAGATGCCAGATAATAACATATTATCTGTCTAAACATAATTATACTGGCTGGCATTAGTCTAGGCTATGGTGCAAAGTAAAAGGAACTGGGAAGCCGTTTCCCCTGCGTAGAATTCAAACTCGGAAAGTAGGAGGCAAAGTGCATGCAGAAACTATCCACTACATTCCTCAGTCACTGAAGGAGGTACTCTGGGGAGATCGAGGATGATCTCCGGCTACCGTGAGAGCGACACTACAGACGGCAAGTAAGAGTAATTGGGCACCCGACCAGAACCAAACCCAAGCAACCGGTGCGTTGCATGCGTGCCTTGAATGGCCACCAGACCCACCTTAGATGGGCCGATGTCTAGCCGTGCCCATTAGGGCCGATGTCCAGCCGTGGTTGTGGGTGCAAGCGATTTGTGGCCCCAACTTGAAATTGGAGAAGGAACACGATGGTTTCAATCACCAAGAGTCTGACTCTCCCTATTATCTCAGGATGGAAGAAGTCGCTTTCTAATTTTTGTCCCTCAAAAAAGACGTCAGTGCTAACTACTAACCATGTATCATTCGATCATATAGCATTTAACAATCTTCTTATTTATAATATTGGTATTAGTTTACACAAGCTGTTACTATAAGCAATTATGTTGACAATCAACGTGTTAATTAGCAAATTTACACCGAAATAACCTTTGTGACATTCATATGAATCCAATTTAAGTTAGTATAGAAACGTTCCTATTTAATTAACGTTTTCAAAATGAAGAGAATTTATCCAACCAAGTCGCTCTTAATTGGACGCAAATATGCTCGTTAAATTATTTTAAATTTGAAAGGGTTATTTTGACGTTGAAACAAGTATTCAGGTTTTGTGCTAAAATATAGTTTTGCTTTTTAAAGTAGAAATGTTGAATTAACTCAGCAAATGAATGTAGATTCTCTTTTGATATCGCATGTAGTTTTATTCAAAGACTGGAAAGGTGTATTATAGCTTATTTCTGCACGTAATGTCGTGTCTTCGTATTAAAAGGGTGCATCGTTAATTAATGCTGAGCTGGTTCAAAGTGTTCTTCTTTAAATATAATTTCTAGAATTTGTTACTTATTCAAGTAAAAACGGTATTTATTAGTAAACAGTTGAAATGATTGACAAACTTTTTGTATACTTTGTCAATAAATTCAACTTTGATTCAAAACCAATAAATTTCGCGATTACTGAATAATACTGTCTATATCTCAATTCCAAACTCTTTGAAGACGTAAATGAAATAATTCATATCTTAATCGAGTAACTACTAACAGCTACCAAAGAGTTTAATAAGGAATTACGACGTTTTGGCATCAGAAGAGATTTCCGGGCCGACCCATTAGAGGTTGATCAAAAAGAGTCATTTGATAACTTACAAGGACTAGGTAGGGAAGATTAACTCCGTCGACAGATTAATTAGGATTTATTGGAGAATTCAGTAGGGATAGTAAATGCTTTGGAATTAAGAACGTGTAATACCATAATTCTTTGTCAGGATTAGTCTTCGATTTGGTCTTTGAATTGGCTGATCAGGTAATCTTATCTGCTTTACATTGCTGTTTTGTTTGGTCCTTTGGTCTTTGATTTTAGTTGTTAAAGTACCAATATTCTGTTTCGATGCTCACGTAGGTGCATGCGTGATTACTACACATGAAGTAAAAATTTCCTTTGATTGAAATAATTTCACAAACTTGTTCGTTATTGAATCTTAATATATAAAAGGAGAAAGTGACTGACTGACATATCAACGCACAGCCTAAACAACTAAACGTAGACACTTGCAATTTTGAAGGGACGTGGTTTAGGTACCGCAGAGGTGCATTAAAAAAGGAATTCCTAAATTCCCACGGGAACGGGAATTCGTGGGAAAATCCGTGTGTATGAAAAATCTAAACCGCTTAAGTTAGACGCTTCAAATTTGGCAAGCAGGTTCAGGCATCTTAGGTAACGTAAAGCTTAGTTGCAACAGGATATTACAAAATTCACATGGGAAAGGTAGTTAGCGGGAAAAAACATTTGTATGAAAAAAGCTAAACCTTCAAAAAATCTAAAACTCAATCTAGTATGCATGCATACCTTTGTAAATATAAAGTTTAGTTATGGATATATTTTGATAAATGAGATTTTTTATCAAAAATTACGAGGTACTTTTTTCTTTTATACTCGTGTGAGGCCACGGGCGGAATATAGTTTTAATATGAAATTACCCATTTGCTGTAGTTTTATGGAAATAATAAATATCTGTATACATTAATAGTATGTATAATCATAATTGGGATAATAAGTACGAAGCACGAATGATTTTTTATCTACTTTTCCATAAAAATTATGTTCGGATATTTTGTAACGAAAAGTGCCATAAAATATCATGAAAGTCACGTTCTGCGTATCGACATAAATAATGCTCAAGTGATGATAAATCGAGGAACACGAGAAGGCTGCAATCATTACCCTTTAGGTTTGTAAGATGAACCGTTTTGTGCGTACACTTGGTTTTCGACTAGGTAGGTATTTTCTACTGCCAGTCATTATTTAAAAATGTATAGTTATTTTTCTTTAAACTAGTTTTTTTTAATTTTCTTTAAACTAGTTTTTTTTCTGTTACATTTCCCATTTGCCTGTTGTATTTAATTAAAATTAAAATTTAAACAGTAACTATTCTAATGATCATTTTTTATATTTAACATAAAAAACATTTTAAATTGCGTTTTTAAATATTTCTTAAAAATGAATTACATAAAAGGGATTGGGCCACCGGTAACATCACTCATACGCCGAAACACAAAGCTGTGGTTGTTTCACGCTGGTTTTCTGTGAGGCCGTGATATCACCCCTTTCGAGCCGACCCATTCGCGTCGAAATGATTTTTGAAATTTTCGTTTTAATAATGATTTTATTCGTGGTATAAAAACATTACTGTCATATTTTTTTTAAATATGTATATATACATCTATAGAGAAAGTTAAAAAAAATAGATAAATGAGTAGGATATTAATTAAAGACTTTACAAAGCCAAAAGTAATTAATAGACCGTAATATCGTATAAGGAGGAAGTTGCCAAAAAGTTTTAACCCCTTCAAAACATATTGAAAGCTTGGAGAACTGAGATTTGAGTTTGTTTAAGTTAATAAGATGAGGTGCAGAAAAGCAAATATAAATTATGTTTATTTTATATAGTACTTAAATTGGTTTTCTTCACTACCCATTCATTATTTGTTCTTATGGCTATTAATAAGCATAATGAAATAGTATTCTAGTGCAACATGCAGAAAATCGAAGCAGGTATGAATCTATAGCTTATATTCTATTGGTGTCGTTTATAGACCCTCGCAACACCAAAGGAGTTACAATTTGTTCATTGGCGGTTTAGGGGTTAAGGCTGGAGGTGAAGGACAGATCTCCGGTAGTCTCATATGGCAAAGCACACTGCAAGCGAAGTTCTCTAGGCAATCTGACAGGCCGACGCGTTTTAGAAGAAATGCAGATTTGAGGATTAAGGATGGATCTCCAGTATTCTTCTCACATATCGTAATTTTGCATTATATGTGATGTCGTGTTGTCTCTGGACGAGCCACCTCATTATGCCAAAGCGTGACTGTCTAATAATACACATTCATATAAAAAAATACACATTAATTATAAAAAAGAAGTTGTAGTAGTTTCGTTTCATCATGGATCTCATATTAAAAGTATAATATTATAGCAACTTTATTCAGCATTTCTCACTACCACTACTATTACACAAATTTATTCGTTTTTAATTCCGTGATAATAATAACATAATAAATAAGTATTACCTCCTCATTTTAGACCAACCAATTCTTTTACTTTTATCTAAAAAACATTATAAACTTATGGGATATGAATTAATTTGGACAACTAGTAACAATGGACATAAAACGAAAGAAAAACAACTGACCAAGGGGAGAGATTTATTTGGACAACTGATTACAGGCCTTAATGAAACACGAAACAGACCTTTGATGACGTCACTCCGGTATAACGGATGTAATATGGATAAAGCTGTGAAGCGTAATACAAGGACATCAAATTAATGATGATTACAAAATGACTGCTGTCATTATGCATAAATTAATTAATACGAACAAAGCTGGTTCCAAAAATGGTTTTAAGTGAAAGGCAGTAAAGTGCAAATTAATTTTGTTAGATGTCACTATATTGTTGATAATTTGATGATAAAAAATGAGATTTTACATCAAAATTAATAAAAAAAATACAAATCACTTCATAGTATAAAGTCGTTTTATCGTTTTTTAGAGATGATTAAAGAGGAAGTTTTATATGTATAATAACATCTATTAAATAGTAGGTAATAAAGTAAAAAGCTGTAGCGGGTCGCTAGTATGAATATAAAATGGAAAAAGAAAATGATTTGTTAATTGTTCTTACATAGAAAAAATCTTGGTGCTACTAAAGCACCCTTAGATCAACTTGAAACTCTATTCAATGGATTTGAAACAAGTCCGGATGGCACTTGAAATATCGTATTCTTCGCCTTGTAAGAGAAACTAAAGTGTTTGATCTCTGTCATAGGTATGTTCGTGAAATGGTCCCTAAAAGCTTTTGAAGTGGACTCTTCATCTCAAACAAAGCACCAAAATTTAACATTGAAAAATAAAATTCTTAGACACATACAAAAAAGTTGTTAAAAATTTAATAAAACCGAAATAATGAAAAACCAATTACAAACATTTTTACTAAACAAAAGTTAGCTAATTTTCAATTCTTACTTACTTCGTCTAAACTGAAATGTCTGGTGATGGTGATATCCATTTTTGATATGATATTGATGACGGTTTTTTTTTAATTAATTATAATTTCCGACGGACAAGACCGCAGCGACCGATGCGCGCGGCGACTGAACTACGACTGAGAGAAAATAGGAAATAGAAGTGACGCGTGCCTTCACGCAGAATGAAAGGTTTGTGGTCCAAGTGAAAAAAGGATATAGTCGCATGTTGCAATATTTTTTAGATTTTCTTTCTCATAATTTTATTTTTGCTTTCATAGTCGTTAGTTATAAATCTCAATATTTGTAAATACCAGCTTCCGACTGCTGCAACGCCCACGTGGTATGTTGATAATAGTCAATGTGTTAATCCAGGGCATCGCCTATTTACATACCAAATTCGAACCAAATCGGTCCTGCCGTTTTTACGTGAAAGAATAACAAACCTACATCCATGCATTCTCATAAACTTTCACATTTTTCACATTAGTATGATCGTGATGTGTGATCGTGAGTAGGAAATTAATATACTCAATACGACCAGATTACAATATGAAATACACCAATTAAAAACAATTATTTTTCAAGAACAACAAGTCAAAACATATAATAAAAAATAAAACTATAGTTTTAATGCAAATAATGTATTGTACTACTTCCGATTGCTAAATTAATAACTTTAATAGACCAAGCTGATTAACCAACCAATTTAAATGGTGGGTTAAAACCTCTTTGTAAAAACATAGATGAATATTTTTGCTTTACTGGCTTAGTAGACAACATTTTTCTGCAACAGTTAGCTACACAAACAGAAATCACGCAAATACCTTCTGTTCCTTTAGCAGAGGAAGTAGTGACGGAAACTCCTTCAAAGAAAATGGAATGCTTGCTTCGTTACTTTGAACTTTTATTTCTTTGACCGAGTCTGACGTCATTACGGAGAAATATTCTATCTTTGAGTGCAATTTATAGCTTTATGAAGTCCTGTTGTGATTGAAAAATTTAATTTTGTTTAACTGTGAAGTCGAACAATGTGAACAGTGGCTGATAAGAATTTTCCAATAAATACATCATTAGCTGCCTACGTGTTCTGATTGGTTGCCTTAATGTATATGTTCTATTAGGTAAACTTTGGAAGACATGTGAAGTAATTTTCCTGAATATATTTCACTTATACATTTGTTCTTTGCGTCAATGTTCCCAACTAGCTTCTGCCTTTTGCTTCGTCCGCATAGTATGTTGATAAAAAGAGCCTGTGTGTCAATTCAGGCGTCATCTATCTATCTATCTACATACCAAATCTAAACCAAATTAATACAAACATAAAATAAATTTAATACATTGTCATAAACTTTCAAATTCGGAATATTTTTAAGATAAGTAGAATTGTAGAATTTCTTACAACCGTTTATTCTCTTATAAAAAAAAAATAACGCAACCCGCGACCTGTCATAAATCATTAGGTATTCTATAAAAACAAAACAAAAAGCTAAAACGATACATAAGTATAACCATAAATTTAAAATCTTCTTCACTAAATTCAGTCGACCATATGAAAATTCAATCATGTATGTCGTACACACAGTGAGCAGAAGCTGTGTGCAACCAACAGACGGGAGGGTGAGGTAAAACGATTCAATTAGGATGAAGCTCTATCTCAAATTTCCACGCGTTTCATTCATATACCATCAATATGGCCCATTTATGTTACAATACATTTTCGATTATTTGACTAACTTTATATGTATGTAGCTAGTGTAGTATACTGCCGTCGTAAGTAATTAACCTTTTTTTTGCATTGATAGCTTGGTATAAATCCTTTGTTGAAAAATTGTCGTGATTGCTCGGTGTTAAGGCGTCCGATTTTTATGCACGAAGAATACCAAAATGACTTCTATATAAATCTAATTTCACATTATCACATCACCAGCCCATAAGTGTCCACTACTGATCAAAGGCCTTTTCTCTCATGGAGTAGGTTTGATCATTAATTACCACGCCTGCTCAAGGCGGATTGGCAAATCATTTTCTTTTTTAAGGTTATTCAGATATCATAAGTATAATGTATATGAAACATCGTAGGTAACCTAAATTTGGATTAAATTAGCCAATCCGCCATTAGAGAGGAGGTCTTTGTTCAACAGTGGATACAAATAGGCTGGTGATATGTGTTGGACAAAATATTAATACTCAATACTCAATACTCAATATATTTATTGCATTCCACAATGTGAACTTAGGTAGTAGGGTACATAAGGATTTACATACTTATATTAGTTTAGGAGCATTGTGGGCCCTGTCGGGCATAACAATAGTAGTAATTTTTTAATTATTTAATTAAAGGGGTTATTTGTTCTTTTATCAAAAACCAATGAAATGCACGAAATTTGGAATTTTAGCTTTAGTGTGGGTCTTCTCTTTGAGTCGTAGTTGCTGGTGGCTGAAGGAACGGTGTGATTTTTAGTCAGTAAGGGTTCGATACTCACTAATGAAACAATGAATTCATTTTTGCAATTAGGCCATAAAACGGCACTTTTACACGTCAATTTATATGTAAAAAACTAGCCGAAGCATAATTTTTCCCGCTAAAATAAAGGGTCAACAAAAGCTAGTAAATGTTAGTTGTTACAATTTGTTTGTGTACCTCTTCGTTTATCTCTATCAGTTTGTTAAGCAGTGCTTATGGAATTTAACTCCAACATTAATAATACACTATGTTGGAAACTTTGTGTCTGAAATATGAAACCTAGTAACTATATTTCAAAGTTTAAAATAGTTTGACTGGATAGTTTGGACAGCAAACATTAACTTCACTTCCGTTTCGCGGAAACAAAATATTACCCCACCGAAAGTTGTTTCGAGGAAGTATTACTAATAGTATATGGACCTAGGAGTGAAAAGGTTTAACAAATTATTTCCATTCCAATATTTTTTTTTTTAATTCCTAAAAATAGATCAAGCTAAATTATTAAATTTAATGACTTACTCACCGGAATTATTTGATGACGTGAAATTTGTGTTGCGTTGTGACTGAAAACTCGTAGAGCTTTAGGTTGTAGTTTTAATAAATTTTGTACGTCTACCGATAATTCATATTCAAACAAATTATATTTAGTATTTGACCGTTCCAAGTTCAAAAAAACATTATTTTTCAATAAATGTTATGTATATTAAGTTTTTCATAAGCAACATTTACATTATCTAAACATAGATCAAGGTTTAGTGCCTCGTTTCCCAGCGCTTCTCAGTGCTTGTAAAGCACAGATACCCATTTCCTTGAAATGTTTGTGCAAGGCAAACAGCAATTTCATTTAGCGGTGTGGGTAAGAGTTTCAAATGTAATTAATATTTGCACAGCAGTTATCAAAAAGATTACGAAATCAAGTTTGAATTAATGTTTTGGAGCACTTTGTTTGCCGATTCGTTCAATGATTGTGTGGTATCGTTTTTTCGTCAATTTTGAGGCATTTGATACTTTAGAGTGTGTCAAAAGATGCCATATTGATTTTATTTGTTTTTATTCAAAGATGTCAAAAGCAAAAATCATTTATTTCGACCTAAACTATAAAGAGATACTTTTGGAAAGTCAATATATGTATAATAATAGTAAGTATGTCAGTTTCTTCGTCAGTGAAGCTAGGTGTTCGTTCCAAACTGTAGATTCTAATAGGTAGAGCAGAGCGAGTAATAACAAAATAACTTAAACTAATCATACTAATTTTATAAACGTGGGAGTGTTTCACTAGATAATGAATTTAATTCTATTAAAATTTAGTAGTTAATCCGGTAAAATCTCATTAAACCACGCAAATTGGCAAAATAATCACACTTTAACTTTACTGATTTCTGATACAATTAGCTTTTTAGGGAAGTGATATCTAATTAATATTTTTATATCTCTATATAGGTATATGTATGAAAGAAAGTCGTTTCAGTGTGACTATTTATAGCCGGGGTTGCGGGTTAAGCTCAATGAGTACCCGCGGCCTCGGACCAGAGCAGGAGAAGGAACGGGGAAGTTTTTAGAGTTGGTAAGAGTCTGCCACTCTTTCTCGCCTAATCCTGGGCGGGAGAAGACATTTGATGATTTTCCCCTGACAAAAAAAAGATAACTATTCATAACTCAAGAACGGCTAAACCGATTTCGTTGAGAATTGGTAGCGATGTATAAAACTGGAAAAAGAATAAGGATAGGGCAGAGTAAGTAGGTTAGAATAGATAGTGTAGGTAGAGTAGTGCACATTGGGGTGCAGGCCCAGATGAAGTACCTGGGCCTAGTCCTCGATAGCAAGTGGCGCTTCAGCGCGCAGTTTGGTGGGCTATCGACACGCCTATTGAGGACTGCGGGCGCCCTCTCGTGGCTCCTCCCAAGCCTTGGGAGACCTGGAGACCAATGCCGGCGACTATACGCCGGCATTCTCAAGAGTATGGCCCTATACGGGGCCCCTATCTGGGCGGACTCACTGTGCAGACGGGAGAACGTCGCCGCCATCCGCAGGCCACAAAGGGCCATTGCACAGCGGGTGGCGAGGGCATATCGCACAGTGGGTTTCGCAGCGGCGTGCGCTCTGGCGGGAACCCCTCCTTGGGAACTCGAGGCTTGGGTGGTCGCCAGGATGTACGACTGGACGGCAGAGCAGAGGGCAGTGAACCGGTCCCCGGGCCTTAGAGAACGGGAAAATGTGTGGGATGAGGTGAGGGAGGCCATCACTCGGCTGCTGAACACTGGACGCCATCGGGCCCGTCCTTAACGACTGGCTCGATCGGCAGCACGGCTGCCTGTCTTTTCGTCTGGTGCAGGTACTGTCGGGGCATGGTCGCTTCGGCTCATACCTGCACCGAATTGGGAGGGAGGAATCACTGTGGCGCCGCGGTGGATACTGCAGAGCACACCTTAGAGGTGTGCCCATCGTGGGATGGTCGGGGACGACCTCTCACTTCCCAGCATAATAACATCCATGCTGGGGAGTGAGGGGGCATGGGCAGCGGTGGCCTCCTTCTGTGAGGAGGCGGCGGAGCGCATGCGGGAAGAAGATCCTCTTGC